TTCTTTTCGGTACACTCGATTCTTCAGACGGCGAAAGATACGATCGTGCTATTACAACTTTGAAAGAAAATCAACAAAAAATCGTCAAGGATGTCAATATACAAATTTCATTATCCAAACAATTAATCGGCCAATATTCGAAAGATATGGAAACAATTACTAATAATCAGAAGAAGATTTCCAAGTATATTTCTGATAACAAAGCTTCTTTAGAAAACATTTCAGACCAGTTCTCAAAATATGCAGTTTATACAAATATGTTGGATCAAATATTTCTGAATGCCAATATATTCGTTACTCTCTTGGACAACATAGAAAATGCCATTACTTTCGCAAAACTACATATTATTCATCCAGATATATTGCCATTTCAAAACTTGAAAAACATACTAACTGAATTGAGATTTCATAATGATCACAATACGATACTAGATGTTAATTATCACACTTGGTATTCTATTATGCACTCAAACTGTTACTTCACTAAGGCTAAGATCATTTTTGCCATAGAAATTCCAATAATTCATCCGAAAACCTTTCAATATTTCCATTTATTTCCAATTCCAACCAATAATCAAACCTTAATTATCCCAAATAAACCTTATTTGGCTCTCGAACAAGAAAACTATCAGTACATGGACCATATCTGTACGAAAGTCGAAGACACCTTCCTTTGCGAGCAAGAAGAATTCAAGTTCAACCCTGTTGAAGACTGCATTTCCGCCCTCATCCAAGACAAGAGATCCCGATGTCTACAAATACCAGTAGAAATTCCATTATTGATATTCAATAAAGTGAATGAAGAGTATTTATTGATCATCAGCCGTGAAGAAATAAAGATTAAAACTCAATGCCCCGAAGAACAATTCCTCACCGTACAAGGCAACATTCTACTTCAGATTCCACTGAATTGCAGCGTCGAATACCAGTCAGTCAAATTCGAAAACAACCAGGCCACAAGTTTTGGTAGTCCCCTCGTATTACCAAAAATCATGAACGGTTCCACCCAAGTTGAAATAGTCCGGAGAAAACCACTCAGAATCGAAAACGTCCCATTAGAAGATATCCATCGGCTCCGGCAACACATCGAAGCAACCAATCAACTATCAATCGATGATTTCAATGACGACCAATCAATCAACTGGATGTTTTGGACTATAGTCGCAATAGCCATCCTCATATTGTTGACCTACATCACTCGCAGACTCCTGAAGTTGAAGAAGAAGCCCTCAGAAGTCCAAATCAAGATCGAAGATAATCATCAATCAGTCCGATCGCCTTCGGTCCTGTTCCAGCCCGAAGCCGTCTCTTAAGGGGGGAGGAGTTACATCGAGCGGTCCCACGGTACCGAGCTAGGTACAACACTTCCCAGGCCGTTTCCCGGAAAGCAGCGAGATCAGCAGATTCATATTTCGTCTCTCAAGATCAACCGACATTATAAATACATGTGTAATTCATTTTTCCGACGATTTTGACCGTATACCTTGTCCAGATAACATAATAAACGTTTTTTAAAAAGTCTTTTGCCGGTTTTTCGAAAATAACTTGCTATATGGGATAGCCCTGCACTGATAAGAGCCCAAAGCTTGAAACCGGCCTGTAGGTAGTCATGCGTTCCCGAACCACTTAAGCGCAGCTCGGCGTTTAGGAAGGAAACACTTGCGATTTTATTCGTCTATAAGAGTTATTGCATAGATTTCTGGAGGATGTAATTCTATGTTCTGCGTGGCGAATAGCCAGGAAAGTAGTTGTTTACCACTTAAGCGCAGCTGGGCGTTCAGGAAGGAAACACTTGCGATTTTAGTCTCTATACGAGTTATTGCAAAGATTGTGGGAGGATGTAATTCAATGTTCTGCGTAGCAAATAGCCAGGAAAGTAGTTGTTTCTCTCTCCTTATCTACCAATTTCGTCCATTTATGAACATTAGTGGAAATGACTCTGAGCTTCGCGTATTTATTTAACTATTCTTCGTTCCAAAAAGACAGTAGCTCTGAAAGAATCTTTACACTGATGAAATGAATAATAGCGCCCAATTCGAAATTATGGTAATTCTTATCACGGAATTCCACTTTGGAGATCGTGTTTATTCTCAGGATTTATTGTAACACATAAAATATACAACAAATAAATGGAATGATGATGTGATCATCTTCCCACAAAGAAAATTCCATTCTTTACGTCACGTCACATGTCATAATATTAGGCAGGTGTAATATTCCCTCTGATATTAACCATTCAAAGCGAAAGTCAACGCTTCCCTATGGTTAAGCAAGTTGATAATGTTATGAAATTAGATGCATATGAAAGCCTAGATAATCAAGAATAGTAATAGAAAGATAATGGACCTATTCAATATAGCCCTCTATATAATTTAGTGATATAAGATCAAGGTGAACATGTGAACTCAACCATGACAAACTTTAATTTGGCGGTTTGTCTTTCACGGTTGGGTGGACATATACCTAGTATATAAGTACCACACTAAAATAGAATATTTAGATTTGATCTTCTCCTCAAGATGCTAACATAATTCGCGAAAAACGTGTCGGGGCGTATACAAAATCGATTTGGTTAGTGGTGAAACAGTGTAGTGCATGTTGATGATTAATGAACACGTTAAAATTATTCATTCAGCGGTCATAGTCGTGCGTTAACATTTTTGATGTTAGTTTATGATAGTGAAATGAGTGGAAAAAAATCGGACATGTAAAGGGGAATGAAAATGATATTCTTTATAGATATTCCATATACATATAGTACTTAATAGGCTAGCGTAGCCTAGAGTTAGGAGTTTCAGTTTCTATCCACGTTGGATTGCCGGTAGGTGGGTTCGATTCCCCCACCACCGCAGAATTTTTTCTGATGGCCTAAGAAAATGTTTGAGATCACACGTTGCTCGCACAAGTCTCTCGAAGACTTTTGGGGGTTGCTCGTAAGGGGGCAACCGAATGATGGATAAGAACAATTTTAGCACAACAATTTTATTCTTTATACAGGGTGACATAGAAAAAAGTACAATGCATAGTGCCACACAATAGAGGACACTGAAAAAATAAAAAAAAGGTCCCATGAACACGGGTTCGCAAGGCCTTCGGTTAAAAGATACGTGGTGTTGAATTTTAATTAGTCTTTTGAATAGGAACTACTTGAGGGTTCACTTAACGTCCCTTCTCAATATCTGACGTGCTCGAATACATTTTTACATTTTTAACTATTCTCTATCCCTTCGTACGGCCACCCCCACCATGCAAACCGACAGATTAATATTTTTCGGTTATCATTATATTTTACCTTTTTGAACACCTGTACACGCTCTCTCCACCAGTGAAAGGTCATATATCATATACACTTTTTTTTATTTTCGCATCTGATCTTCACAATCTGATCCGTCCCCACGACGCTTCAGTAAATCCCTATTTAGCCTCTTTGCCTCCCCAACTACTAGTAGTTTTATGTGTTATGCATAATCATTATTTCAATAATGAAGTTTCAAAGTGAATATCAAGTATTTCCCAATACATAAATATCAGATTCTTGTGAACAAATATACAGGGTGTTTCAGTTTTTTGTAGCAGGACTTCAACAGCTTGAAGAAGACATTTTTTTGAGATGAAAATTTCATACAAACATATATGCGTGGAAGCTTCGTTTCCGATTTACAGGGTGTCAAAGTTTCAGATTTTTTTTTATATTTTTTGATTTTCTCCTACAATTTTCGGTATAATTGATTGAAATTTGGTTCACCTAATACACTTCGAAAACTAAATATTTGAGGCTATTGAGCGTTTTTGAATACCTACAGGGTGATAGACTTCCAGGGGTCGTACCCGATTTAACCCTGTAGAACTTTTTTGCGTGCCGTCTTTGCTCTCAATGAGACAAAGATTCAGATTGTCCTTTCAATTTGGAAACTTTTTGCCTCCATGTGAATTTTTCGAAAACTGTATGGATCTCGAGATAAATGCCAAAAATAAATTGCTTGTAATAAAACCGTTATTTCTCAAACACACTTATTTGACATTTCTCAAACATTTTATTGGAAAATAGAATGACTGAAAGCTTCCATACAAAATGAAATTCAGTTGCAAAATTAGATTGAATTTTTTGACAACCATTATAATCAAAACTAGGAGAAACAAAAAAAACTTCTCTAACTGGATTGCAAAATCTGAAATTGTATTGTAGAAAATTCTAGGAAACCCTGTATAACTGAATCTGGTTAAACTTTCGATATCAGGGACTGTATGACACACATCGCTAGACTATCGCTTCTGACGGTTGAGGTGTTGTGAGTTTTAATAATTTAATCTCGTGAACGGCTGTTCTAATTTTATCAGTGTGGTTCGGATTCCACTTTCATTTATCTCGAAATCCATACAGTTTTCGAAAAACATACATCTGGGCAAAAAGTTTCCTAATTGCAGAGACAATCTGAATCTTAGTCCCATTGAAAGCAGAGGTGGCACGCAAAAAAGTTCTACAGGGTTAAATTGTGTACGACCCCTGAAAGTCTATCACCCTGTAGGTATTCGAAAACGCTCAATAGCCTCAAATATTGAGTTTTCGAAGAGTATTAGGTGTACCAAATTTCAATCAATTATTCCGGAAATTCTAGGAGAAAATTCAAAAAACATTTGAAAAATCTGAAACTTTGACACCCTGTGAATCGGAAACGAAGCTCCCACGCATATATGTTTGTTCGAGATTTTCATCTTGAGAAAATGTCTTCTTCAATCTGTTAATGTCCTGCTACAAAAAACTGAAACACCCTGTATAATATAATAATCACATGTATATGAAGCAGACTGGTAGTATCATCACAGATATTCGGATTTGAGTGATTTCTCAGACTTATATTGGCCTTCTAGTTTTTTGAGTTCGGTGAGTATAGAGCTGTAATATTGTTGATTTTTATTTCGGTTGTTTAAGTCCATGCAATAAAAGTGAGACACCATAGATAAGTAAAAAGACTAAAGAAAGAGAAAACACTAGCACTTACATTATCGTCTTGTTCACAGTCATTGTGATTGCATCTGAGACGTGATTGTTTGATGAGGTTTTGCCTAGTGATGTGTAGTTCCTTTTCAAGGAGTTCCACCTTTCTCTGAAAATAATCAATACATACTGTGAATAAAATTACCATGTTCATCTCGAAACATCAATAGATTGAAAATCATTACTACATAATATAATCAATTATAGGTTATTATATCCAGATAAATAAAGAGGAAGGATGAGAATAATGAATAGATTAGACACAATTGTGAACTGTTGATGTTGTCATATATCTAAAGCAGTCATCATTTTACAAAAATATTACCTCACACACATAGAAAAACATAGAAAAACTGAACTTATTGAAGGTTTTACAAGGAGTACTACATATCATATCCATTATCTTTTTATTTTTCACAAAAAGCTCAAATTATATTGAACATATCATCACACTAAGTTATAGAGCTGTGCAGGAAATCATAATTAACCTTAATTGAAGTTGGTGAAAAAGACAGCTACTGACGAGTTCAGTTCCTAATCGATTTCAATTTCAAATTTTAATTTCCTGCTCCTTTTCAAGTATAGGCATGACATTCATACTTGATGATACCTAACTAAAATTATATGTATTCAGTACTCTAATTTGAATATTTTTTCAAAAATACCACCACTCGGATTCCTTGAACATATTATGTATATGGCATTATTATATAATATTCAATAAAAAAACTGTTTCAACTAAAAAGCCCAAAAGCTTATCACAAATTTGAGGTTATGGTGGTTTATATTGTTTTTATGAATTTGATTTTTCCCAACCTCAAGACAAAAATGAAAATAATTCTAATTGTTCGAGATGGTATTTTGACAGCTAAAAATAGACAAATGAATTTGGATCAAATCCGTTGACAAGAACTATGAAACAGAAGTAGGTACCTAATTATTTTTCTTTACCTAAAAAAAGTTTTATTGAGCTTTTCAGATTCAACAAAATGTTGGTTCGTCTTCTGATACAATCATTGAGACCCTAGTGGATAGATCAAAGTATGAAGGGAATTACTACAGAATCTCAAATATTCTGTGCATTAAGGTTTTATGCAACTGGGTATGGTACCTAATGTCATTTCTCAGGAGTTTATACTCGTCAAGCCATAATGAAACTTGGCTTAGCCTGATTCACAGTTTTTTATTGATTTCACGAATATTGAAATCATCCTGTGGCCGTGGCCATGTTCGGTGCAGTGGGCATCTCTGAGTTTGAACGACATCGAAAATGAATTATATATTGTTCTCATGAAGTAATTAGTTGATTACTTCCTGTTCATATAACACACAAACAAGATGATCTAACCTCAAATTGATATGAAGGTTGAAAGAAACATTCGACGATTGATAAGGATAGATTGACAAAACGGATCAATTCGACTCCTCTTGAGCTATCGAGGAATCGAGTCGATTTTACATGAGTCATTCGAGAAACAGAATACTAAATATCGAATAAAGATGGTCGATTCGCCTCGATTCGTGAAATAGAATCTCCCTGCTGATCTTCCTGTTTCCTTTGCTACAAATGTCGTGTCTGGTTCCTACGAATTTCAAAATTCATTTTTGGTAAAACTCAAGAAAATATCAGAGAGAATTAAATGATCATCTCCTTGGTCCTTGGGAGATCCCACTTACAAAAATTGATTGTGACTAGGTGTCTGAACGCAACGAAACTGCATGGAACACTGACATTAACGGCTTAGTGGACGTTTCTAGGTATACCTAAAAGCAATGTCGCCAAAATATCCATATACCCAACATATTTCAGAAATACTGCGACTGGGATCCCAAAAGGCCACTGCAAGATACGTTAAAGGTTAACAATTTGACAGAAATCACGAAAAATATTTAGATTTGTATTAAAGTACAATAAACTGTCAGAAAAAGAAGGTTTTCGGATGTTCATTGTTAATGCATAGTTTTTCCATTCAGGTCGACAATGCTCGGGCCGAAATAACAAGTACAAAATACCTATTATCTACTCACTGCATCGAAAGTAAGCGTTTGTTCCCTCATTTAAGGACACAAGCCTGTCAATTTACTTCCACGGGAGGAAAACAAATATTATCTCACGTGAGAGGTAAAATAAATGGGCTACAGCTTTGCTTCCTTGGTATAGAGATATAAGTATGAGATCTGTGCTACCCAAGTACCTAATCAGTGTCTCCATCACTACTATAAAACAAATGACAGTTTTCCAATGATCTGATACATTTCCTCATATTCCCAACACTCAATCAAAACTTCAAATGAAATGCAATTACACTATAAAATGCCAATAAACAAATTCAATGTGACAGAAATGTCAATGTCAAATTAGATTCAAATCCTGTCTGTAACCTTAAAACATGTAACACATTGATTTGGATCGAATCTCGCGAGATAGACCGCTTGAAGCACAATTTTAAGTACGACACTCTCAAATATATGCGTTCGAGAATAAAATCATATATATACAGGGTGTTTCACAGATAAAGGGAAATATTTCAATGGTACAGAGGTCACCAAGGTGGGTCTGAAAATACCATATTTGATAGGTCTTAGAGTCTTTATAACGGAAATACAGGGTGATTTGTCAATTTCGAATAATTATTCATTCGTCTATAAGTATTGTACTACCCAGTATATTTTCCTGAAATTTTGTATGGAGCGTATACTTGAGACGTTGAATTCATTCACCTATCGGGCGAAGTGAAAATCCAGGTTCGGCTTCAGGAAACATTTACATTCATTCGAAATATTGAAATAACACAATGTATGTAATACTTTGCAGAGTTCATAACAGGAATCGTGAAGAGGAGAAAAAACTGAACTGGATTTGATGCTTTCTGTTTTCCCGCCACCAATTCTCATCGTAACAATCATAAACAGGAAGCTAAAAGTATGTCAATTTCAAGAGTATTAAAATTATGAAACCACTTCCAATTATGATTATTTGATATATTCTTGTTAAATGATCGTTCGAAAGAACTTACTAAGTCTCACAGTCTTTCACCTTCACCTTGTATCTCTGTTATAAAGTCTGAGACTTTTCCTGAAGCTGAACCTGTATTTCCATTCCGCCTGAGAGGTTAATGAATTCATCGTCCCAAGTAAGCAACATACCAAATTTGAGAAAATGTTACTGGGTAGTTTTATACTTTTGGACGAGTGAATAATTATTCAAAACCGAAAATTCACCCTGTATCTTCGTTATAAAAACTATGAAACTTAGTAAGTTCTTTCAAGCGATTTTTTGACTAAAATATATCGAATAATTATAATTGACACTGGTTTCATAATTTCAATACTCTTCAAATTGACATACTTTCAACTGACTTTTTCCATATGGTTTGTAACCGTCTTAAGGAAATAAATGATTATTATTATTATTATTATTCTGTTTATGATTGTTACGATGAGAATTGGTGGCGGGAAAACAAAAATCATCAAACCCAATTCAGTTTTTCCTCCTCTTCATAATTCTTTTGATGTTCTGTGTTAATTATTAAATACAGTGTGTTATTTTAATATTTCGAATAAATGTAAATTTTTCCTGAAGCCGAACCTGGATTTTCACTCCGCCCAATAGGTGAATGAATTGAACGTCCCAAGTATAAGCCCCTTACCAAATTTGAGGAAAATCTACTGGGTAGGTCAATACATATAGACGAATGAATAATTATTCGAAATCGATAAATCGCCCTGTATCTCCGTTATGAAGACTCTGAGACCTCTCAAATATGGTATTTTCAAAACCACCTTGGTGACCCCTATTTACCATTGAAATATTTCCCTTTACCTGTGAAACACTCTGTATATACAAGGTGTTTTTGAAATAAGTGCACATATTCAGCACATCAATATGATACAGTCTGAGGAATATTCCCATGATATCAGATTTTTTCTAATTCTTCTAATTAACGAAAAATGAAATCAAGTTCGCCTCTTTGAAACAATTTGAATGATTGACGTCCGCGTGATTGTACCCACCGCATGGAAATTTGAACAGAGGTGACGTCAGATTTGCTACAGTGTAGAACTTTTGGTGGAAAAAGGGGTCTAACCTCAAATTTTATTTTGATTCCTATTTTTTTTTATTAGTGCCATTCGATAGTACATGTCCAACTTCCTCAGTGTTTGAAATATTCGCACTTATTTCAATGCCACCCTGTATATGTATCGATTTCCTCCCGCGTGTTGAATTTGAGCCCCGACGCGTAGCGTACCGGAATATATAAATAGCTATCAACGAATTGTTATGAATGCAAATTCATGAACTAATAAATTGGTAACTCACATTATAATCTTCTAAGATTTGGTTCAGCCTTTCCTGCACAGCAGACTTCAACGTAACCAAACCATCTTCACCTAATGGATAGTGATAAGAAAACATATTCTTTGGTTGTGAAAAATTGTGCAACGAGCTGTCCCAGCCGTTGTTGGTGCTGGAAAGTTGTGTGGCACTAGAACATTTCGACCTTCGATCGCTTCCAGATTGATTGCTAGAATTGAAAATATGTTAACATCATGATTATTTCACTGTGCTGCTCTATTTTGCAACGTGATATATGATTGAATTTTGTCATCATAAAAAGTTGTTACATGCATTCTTTTCATTCCTATCTTTTGTTCAGCGGGAAGTGTATGGCTATAAATTGAAAGTGGGTGTTTATACCCTATTTCCATCTTCCATCTACGGCTATGATTGATTTGTCAGAAAATCTAACCTCGAAAATCGTATCTGATAATCAGGCGCTATAGGTCGCGTGCACGATGACCGACCCTGGAGGCAAAATATTGAAATACAACCTCATTCTTCTGTGAATTATTGAAACACAACCTCATTCTTCTGTGAATTATTGAAACACAACCTCACTTTTTTATTTGGTTACAAAGGAATCAGAGGATTGATATAGTTTTTCACAATATTGTGGCATACGAATCGTGTTTTTTGCTCATTAATTCAAGCATGCCTTCGCATTGTACTGTTGTACAATGCACAAAAAATGCAGCAAGAGACTAAAGAATATGATTCTTCAGGTAAATAGTAATCTCACATAGTTATCATTATGAAATGTTGTCATTCCTTATTAAAATTCTTTCTGCCTTCTGCCACTTCTGCAATACAAGCTAATACTGCTAATAGATTGAAAATGTCTACAACACACGCGATCATCAGCATGTCAGACCAGTCCTCCCGATTGTTTGCATGAATCCAATCTTCTTGCATTATTCTAGAAATTTCAGGTATATTTCTATTAGCTCTTATTGCAGAAGGAATTCCGATGAGAAATCAGAGAAATAACCAAATTTCAAAAATGAAAACTATATGTGAGTGACTATAGTAGGTACTTACTTTTAAATCATAATGTACCATCCGGATTCCTTCTTCTTCTGCTGCAGTTTTTGTGCATTTTACAACAGCACAATGTGATGGCATGAGCGAATTGATGAATAGCGGAAAAATACGATTCGTATGCCAAAATAATTATGAAAAACTATTTCCAACACTTGTAAACAAATAAGAAAAGTGACGTTGTGTTTCAATGTTTTGCCTCCAGCGTCGGTCATCTGACAGTTCTTGCACGCAATTATTGGAACACAACCTCACTTTTTTATTTAGTTACCAATGAACTCAATGTAATGTTCATTGTTGGTTACAGAGGAATCAAGGATTGAAATAGTTTTTCACAATATTATGGCAAACGAATCGTGTTTTTTGCGCTATTCATTTATTCAAGCATGTCTTCGCATTGTGCTGGTGTACAATGCACAAAAAAATGCAGCGAAAGACGAAGGAATATGATTTTTCAGGTAAATAGTAATCTCACATAGTTATCATTATGAAATGGCATTCCTTATTAAAATTCCTCCTGCCACTTCTGCAATACAAGCTAATACTGCTAATAGATTGAAAATGTCTACAACAAACGATCATATTCCGTCAGTATATCAGACCACCCGGTTGATTGCATCGATCCAATCTTCTTGCATTATTTTAGAAATTTCATGTGTATTTCTATCAGCTCCTATTGCAGAAGGAATTCCGATGAGATATCAGAGAAATTACCAAATTTCGAGAATGAAAACTATATGTGATTTACTATAGTAGGTACTTACTTTTGAAACATAATATTATTATTTATTATTTTTTTCAATTATCGACCAGTATGCATTAGACTTGGGTACCTTGATATATTTTTTTTAAACTTAAGCAAACTTTGTCAACAAGAATTTAATTTCTTATGATAATAAAGTATATTCTCTCTCTCTCTCTAATGTACCAATAGGACTCCTGCTGCAGTTTTTGTGCATTGTACAACAGCACAATGTGATGCCATGAGCGAATTAATGAATAGCCAAAAAATACGATTTGTGTGTCAAAATAATTATGAAAAACTATTTCAATCACTTGTAAACATATAAGGAAAGTGAGGTTGTGTTTCAATGTTGTACTTCCAGGATCGGTCATCTAACAGTTCTTGCACGCAACCCATTCGCGGTAGCCAAGGTCATCATCTGACGTAGAGATGACATGAAAATTACCGGAAAACATTCATGACTCCTGGCTTAGATTGAAAGTTAGACATGTTTTCCCGTAGTTTCCATGTCATCGCAACGTCACATGATGAACTGCGGATTAGGGAAATTGAAAAGACAAAGAGCAGAATATATGTCTTATTCTTTCATTCACTCAAACCATTGTAATATAGAAAATAGAAAAGGACAGAAGTTCAGCTGTGTCCGAAATCTTATCCAACTAATACCATCCAGTGACTTTAGTTTAGAATAGTTTAGATGAACATGTTTTTTTTTAGGTGATTCTGTTCAGATCATTAAGAGTATTATTATAATCATAAGAAATAACAACATGACTATTGTTTCGACAATAAATGCAAGATTGATTGTAAGCTTTACTAATAGTTCAATGTGTCATATGGTCAGCATATTATTAAATGGTGGAATGAAAATTTCACATGAAGAATTATATGGGCTCTAAGGCACGAAGGTCCAAATTTTCATAAGAAACTTACCCACAAATAATTTCATCACCTACAAGCGTTCCAGTACTAGTCTCACCGGATCTCTCCATGTCTAAAAAAGTCCCCACATCGACGGCAGTCAATTTTCTATCACCATTCAGTTTCCCATTATTGTCTGTAACACTGGCATCGTTGTCGATATGGTCGACGTTGCCATTACAAACAGTCTTTTCAGTCTCGCCATCGGTCGATATAAATATATTTGTCACATCACTAGAAATTCGGTCTATCTCACTTTTTATCACATTTTCTACTGAAAGGTTTCCTTCGCTACAGTCTTCGACGTCGTCTTCTATCTGTTAGATCGAAGAAAACAGATCGATTAGCAAGAATAAACTTCAAGGCGATTGAAAAAAGGAACTGTCTCTCTTGAAAACACGACTGGTGTCATTAACATCAAATGAAAACACCAAGTGACTTCAACTAGCATACCTTCTATATAAATTGATGAACGTCCATAGTCATTGTGAAGATTTTCACAAAATTCTCAAAAACCAGACACTAGTTTGTTCTAAGATCTTATGTAATTCTAAAAACTGTTACGGGACGCATGACTGGCCATGCGCTAGTAAAGGAGCACTTCATTAGAGCACTGTGCAGATGCGAGACATTAAACCGCAAGAAAAAAGATTTTTGGGCAACCAGTTAACGAACCAGAAGTATTTAACTTACATCCAGTGGAGGATTTGTACAGACTTGTTGAAAGTATAGAGATAATGGAGTGGACACAATAAAAAAATCTAGGTAAGACACAATGGGCCACTAGACCAGAATTTAGTCAGAGACATTGGTCAGACGAGCCCACAAGCGGGGTGGAGTGTTTAGTGAGTATAACTTGGCTAGAGTCAGGGGACTCCCACACTAACATATGGGGGATTAGATCCATATGATGTCCATGAAGGATTTCAACCACCTCGACAAAAAAAGGTAGGTCAGTTCATTGTACTGGCATAAGTTATTGGGAATTTTGCGGAAATCGTTTGTGAAATTAAAATTGTTAGATACCATCTATTACCAGGTATAATAATATATTATATAACAAGAATTATAAACGTCATTCAGTAACGAGTATTTTGAGCACGAGCGCAGAAGAGCGGAGGAAATGTTTAATAAACACGCGTGTCTAGAAGAGTTTATAAACCCATAACATACTATACTTTTTCTATGAACTCATAATTCCTCCCTTCGACAAGATCCCATATTCCTGAAAATTAAATCAACCTACCTGCTAACCTAGAAAATAATTCGAAGGGAATGGGAAATAATACATAACACTATGCAACTGCATCCAACCAACGCGAGACATGTATAATTTATATTGGTTGTAGATGTGCGTCCAGTCTAATAAAGGGTAAATGAATTTCCATTGAAATGACGTAGTAGCATAATTTTACCCACATAAATTTTGTGTTTTACGTTTATTGTCATGCTTAGCATAAAATGAATTGTCCACAAAGATGAGAGCTTCATTTTTACCTAGAGTTCTTGGAAATATGCAAGTACCTACCTAAAACAGTCTCTTCGATTTCACTTTCGTTTACATTTCGCATCCATTTGAAGAATTCTGATACAAGATTCAAACAAGAATTGTTTGAATTATGCTAAAGGCAACAGAATTCGAAAATGACAGTTCCTACAATTGACAGGTCGGACAGGACTCGAACTACTGAAGGTGTGTTTGAAAAATTCTGTTGCCATGGTAATATGTTTGAGAAATTGTGTTGCCATGGTAACGTGTTTAATTTTTTGAATAAATCACAGATCATCAATCCGTTATTAATCGATCATTTAGCGTGGTACATATCCGTACGCTAAATGCTATTTTAGTTATGTGAGTAGAAAAAATTATTAATATCACTCTTGATGACCAGATGACACTCAAGAAGCCTTTTTGTCTAACAATGTGTCGGACTCCACCTTTACTGTTTTGATTTTCGAATCATCACACACAAGACAATGAAATGCAAAATCTTCCAAGCCCTCTTTGATCACGTGATACATTTCAATTTTCTGATACTCAATTGAGACACAAACCAACAATCCAAAACGTAAACAACTATCATACCAACTAGGAAAAAGCAAAATACTCAAAGTGGAATGCAATGGTCACAAATAGAGAGAAACTCAAAGTCATTACCACACTAGTTCATAAAATGAACGAAAATGGTAGATAACGAGATAAAAACATCTACTCTATGCATAGATTTCGGGAGGATGTAATCCAATGTTCTGCGTGGCATATAGCCAGAAAAGTAGTTGTTTTTCTCTCGTTATCTACCATTTTCGTTCATTTTATGAACTACTGTGGTAATGACTTTGAGTTTCTCTCTAATTGTAACTATCATACCGTACGTACTCCCTACCACGATAAACAAATAGACAGAAGAGACAAGATAATAAAACAACCTGCGCAATCACATACTTGGTTGATGTGTAGCGTACTTCATACAGGATCAGAACTTTTCGTGAAGTAAGTTCATAACTACTTGGTGATAAGTAACCTAGATTCTCAAGAATAAGAGATTCTATTGTATTTTCGTGAGTAGATTGTCAGTTGATGCAGAACAGGCTATCTCGGCTTGCTAAGCCCCATCAGTTGCACTAAGCCAACTGGCAATCGACTCACCTACAAACCACTTCCTACCTTTGGAGGTGGCGGTTCGCCGAAATCCGTCTGATCCGAATCGCCCATTTGGTCGTTGTTCTCCTTGAACATGCAATCCTGGTTGCATTCGCCGTCTTCGAGGTAATTGGGATAACCGTTCGGAGGTTCTTCGTCTCTAAGAGTGTCGTGACCGTTGAACACGTCGCGTCGAATGCTCGGCGCAGATGGGATTTCCTGAGGCGCCGCCCGTTTCCTGAGTTGGATAGATAGATAGATATTTTTGGAAATATTAGTGGGATGCAGTCTGGACCAATGAATTAATTAGATTTCTTCGTTATTTGTCGAGCTTTCGAAAATTTTTATTTTCTTTATCAAGACTAACTGAAAACATCGAAAGCTCGACAAATAACGAAGAAATCTAATTAATTCATTGGTCCAGACTGCATCCCACTAATATTTCCAAAAATATTATTATAGAACAGTCACGAAAGCTTCCCCTTGTTAGATAGATAGATAGATAGATAGATAGATAGATAGATAGATAGATCTTTATTTAATTAGGAACCCTGATATACATAAAAGAAGGCATATTAAACAGAGTTGATTTTTTTAAAAATAAAAATGAATGTTAAAATGACATTTTTCTACGGCTATAACACAAAATTGCTCTTCTTTTACTGTGCTCGATACGTCAATGAGGTACTTTGTAAGTCATCAATATTATTTCCGTATCTGATATCACAATGACTCCATTGTGTAATTATTTCATAAAAAATCTCATCGCTCATGGAATGTCAAATGTGAAGCAACGACAGCTGTCTCTAATAGATGAGCATTACCTGACAGGAAATCAGATGGCTACAAGACGAAGAAATTGAAAATTCTGCTGTTATCTATTATGACCGTAGAAGAATTACAGTGTATAACTTGCAAGCAATGCTAATCTCCTACTAAAACCACTATCATTCCGTGCTCGTTGAACAATATACTGTCATGAAATACCTACGATAAAAGTAGAATAAGATTAAAAACAGTAGAATAACAATAAACGGCAATAACATAAACAATAGTTATTTATTATACAAGAGGAAAAAATAGTAGATTTTAGCTCCAGGTTGTGTTGTCTCCCGGCGCGTAGCGGAGGGAGACAAAAAACCGTGAACTAAAATCTAATATTTTTCCCGTGTATAATAAATACACTATTTTTTCTGTGACAGAAGATAGGACGAATCAATATTGAGAAGATATTACATAATTTTGAAATTAGTGGTTGTTTAGTAATGTAATTAACCGTGAAGTCGAATGGAAGATAAAAGGACATGCAGTTCTTTCTCGGAGACGGAATTTTTCTGAACTAAAGTACAACAAAAGCCATCAACAGTGTATATATATGTATGTGATATATATCCGGGAAAAAAGTAATTCATGAAGAGTGACATTTTAAAACCTGTCAACAGAGATGAAATGCCAAACTTTTTTCCCGTCACAGAAAAAAATACTAAATATACATATGGAATACACAATGAAGACCTTACTTAGCTATTAATTTTTTTAGGATGACTTCCTTCAAATTAGCTTAGAACTGGATGAGTGAAGCAGATCCCTTCACAGACTCTGACAGCTTATTTATTGAACTCCAAAAATCCTTTTAAAAATGGTGAATTCATGGTATTACGATAGGAAGTGCCAAAAACATATATGTCATTTTTGCCACGCGTATTATAATTATGAATATTTTTAATGAATTTTAGGTACTTCTGAAAGTATTCTGGTACTAAATGATTTACTATTTTGTAAATGAGTATCATAGTGTGATAGTACAGTCTGTTTTCCACTGAAAACCAACTAAGAGTCATTAAGATTGATCTTATAGGAGTAAAACAATTTGTTTTCAGTATTATTCCCATTCCACGGTTCTGGAGCTTTTGGAGCATATTCAATTTATTTAAATTAAACAGATATTCAATGGATGAGCAATAATGAAAATGTGGCTGATTGATCGAAATATACACAGTGATTTTGGCTGCGTTGACAAATGTTGAAATATCCAGCCTCTTCCCCAAAAAACGTATCATCCTGTAGATTTTGAAAATCTTCAAAATGCTTCAACTGATGATCTTTATCACCCAATTCAGTTTATACCTCAAAACCTGAATCACCCTGAATAAAAAAATACAAAACTTGTGACATTAGAAAGAGCCACTCACGAATCGCATTGGATGCTGGGATCGCTGAGACGTCTGTAGGAGTAGGTGCACGAGTCTCCGTCGTTGATGAGGTCTCCGTAGGACCTCGTCTTCGTCATGTAGTTCGGAGAAGATTCTCGGGTGTCAGGGCAAAACCGGGAACTCTCCGGGTACGAGCTCTCTTCGATCGAACCTAGGTACACTTCGGACCACAAGTGTAAGTCTCTCACATTACATTGAGGCCATAATACCTGTGAGAATAATGATATTGCTAGAAATTGAGATTTTACTTCGTTCACGTCATCTTGAGTATCAAGTTGTAGACTATATTTATCAGATTATAACGCCATGATATTAGGCCAACTATAAGACGATCCATGATGAAGAGAAAAATGCCTGGAGACCCCAATGATTTGATAATATCATACTCCTAGATATTGCCTAGAGACAGAGAGAGGAATTGACGACTACGTAAGAGTGAGACGCAAAGCGCAACGAAATCGGCTGATGCTTGGGTACATATTTCGCCACAACTATAGGCCAATGGGGTTGTACACACTGGTCGAATTTACGCCACAAACCTATTTCATATTGATCATTCCGTGTGTAAATAGTATATGATTCAATCATTCGTTATCAAAAAACATCGCAAATATATTTTTTTCCATTATTAAATTCGGCACCCTTGAAAAAGCCAGCTTCGATGAAGTAATGAACCGAACCGAAAGCTATCGTTATCTGAATTCTAGATTTTGCATAAAAAGTAGTACCACATATTTCGACGCTGACAGATTTGTAACTAGTAATTACTAGAGTCCCTGTATATACCTTAGATAAGAGTCCAGACACAGCTATACTTCTGTCCTTTTCTGTTTTCAAAAAATGCATTGATGATTGAATAAAGGAATAAGACATATATATCGAGCTCTGTCTTTTCAATTCCCCTAGTATCAATGATTGTCAGAAACAATTTTGAGGGTTAGATTATTTGTCAAACCGTTCATAGCAGTAGGTAGAAGTGGGAAATATTGCTATTTTAACTATAATAACTATTGAATAATAATAATAACTTGAATCCCTCTTCTAATGAATTGTCGCAATAATGTACGCAGCAGGAAATTGAAATAATTTAAAATGTTAAATTTTGGCGGTCATAGAATTTCAAAGTGACAGTGACAGAAATTCGAAATAATTAAAAAAAGCTGGCGGGACGACTATGGTGTTTCGTCACATTGTCAGGTGGACAAACCAAATGGAACAAAATATTGAAAACCCCAACAGCTGTCAGTTTTGTGTCCGGACTCTTGTCTAAGGTATATACAGGGACTCTAGTAATTACCTTATGAGATTCAATATGACCAATGACAACAGTATTCACATTTACAGAAGACAATAGTTCGACCTAGTCCCTAATAATCACTTATTGAATACTTATATAATTGAGGGTTGCTTGGCTGTGTGCACGTGTATATGTATATACCAATGAAGGGAAGTGTTGAATTTCGTGCAAGATGATTTATTCAAATTTATTACTCATAGCAGAGCGCTTTCGACTGTTGAGTCATCATCAGTGCATACCTGTAGGTAAGTAATCTGCGTTTAGCTATATGAAAGAAATTGGAAATTAGAAAAAAAAAATTCGTTTGTAAAAATTTTTTTGAATTTTTTTTTTTTCGAAAATGTAATATTGAAAGAAGGTTAAATTGAATTGGTGACTTGTTACTTGTTGATTAACTCTTGATTTTGAAAAAGACATTATCATGAAATCGAAAATTGGAATAGTTAAATACGAATTTGGAAATAGATAAAAGTGAGGTTACTTACTCGTCAGGTTAACAAGAAAATTTGTCCATAAAAATATCTCTGGTCCAGTTTAAAACTATCGACATCATGGTAAAATACAGATTACATTTTGTTAAGCAGCCATTGTCGCTGCGACATGTTGAATTGAACTTGATGAGTGACGGGCCTTGGTTTTATTGTCACTGAACTACTAGAATAATGAAGGCAAATTTGAAGTTGACATTTATGACATGACATCCAAGACATGACATCCAAGACATGACATCCAAGACATGACATCCAAGACACGACATGACATCCAAGACACGACATGTGTCAAAGGAATAATCAAGAATGTTTATTGTTATAAAACCATTAGTGAAGATAGACTACATGAAATCGGGAAAACATAACCAAGTCCCTAAGGAGCGAATGTTTTGTTGGTTAGACCATATCGATGGTATTTTCTCTTTCTCACGTGAATTCCAATGTTTTTTACAGGATTATGAGGCTAGGGCGTGTTGAAGATAAATAATATATCAAAATAATAATTATATCTTCAAAAAATCACATACACAAAGAACACTTATCTACTTCGGTCCCAAATTATATAACTTACTGCCTAGGAACATAAAAGAAAAAAAAATCACACATAGTACTACAGCAATCCTGACAATCCTGAAGACAGAACAAAACAAATGCTTCAAGCATTTAGGTTAGCCTCCAGGATCTTGTGAGGGTTCAATAATAATGTGAACTAGTACAAGACTGTACAGTGGTATGATAGATACGAATTTCCATGTCCACTCACACCATGTAGGCACACAATACCATTCCGACAATCCTAGATGCAGAACAAAGCGAGTGCCTCATGCACTTAGGTCATGCGTCTAGGATATGGAAGAAATTAATAATAATAATAATATTTAACTAATATATGGGTATGTATATGTATGTTTGTTATCTGATTTTCACCATGTAATGCAATTTCAATTCAATAAATTTCAATTTCAATTTCAATTTCAATACTACGCCTATGAGGCTCGTTGGCTGACATTTGACTGAAGTGTTGTGTTTGTATTTTTTGTTATATGAATGAAGGTTAGTAGCTAGCTTCGCAGGACGCTGTTATGTGCACATCAATAAAAGGACATAGTCTCCTACGGGGTATATCTCGCCTCCATTCTCTTGGACTCATCCCTCTTCTCGCAAGAACTTTATCGGAAAAAGATGTATATTTGGTAAGCAATGAACTTTTAAAATGAAACCTTATTTTTTATTGATGTTTGGTAGTGAAAATATGCTACAGGAAGCAATAACATCAGATAGGATGTAGTTATTCATGAAATATCATAATTATCTCATTTTAAGTTACAATTCAAAAGTTTAACGTTTGTGATCCCGAAACAAAAATCACAATCGTTAATAGGCGGATCTAGTAAAGTATAATATTATATTGTTAGATCATTGTTAGACCCTGACATTATTTCATTTTCAGTGAGACATGTTCAACATAAACATCTATCCAATCAAAATTTATATTTCTCATTGAATTATTTGTTTAATAGTTATTCAGACTGAATCGTCTCAAGTGCACTACCTGGTTTGTTTTTCCAACAATATGTGTTCCAAATATGGGCATAGGATGGGTTGTCCTTTTCATTTGGTTAAACTACGAATTTTTTGAAATAATAAGATAGATGTCACTCACTTTTTTGTTTGTACTAGCAGAATACAGATGATTCCTGAAACAAGGAGAACCCAAAAAGTCCCACACTGAAAAAGTCTTCCCATCAACAATTTTCGATCTCTCCTTCTGAGTGTTGCATAGGAAAGTTCCAAACAAATTGGAATATGTGTGCTGCACTAATTTAACCTATGAAAAAAAGAAACGAATTTTATAATAGAATAAACATTAATGTAAGACTAAATTATATTTCACACAAGTGTGAAAAGTAATAGTCAACATCTTGACAAAAAACGAACTACTAACTCGTCGACTAACATCAAGTGTCCATCTTAAATGAACCTATATAATTTTGAATGGGCAAGTGGAGTTAAGGACCTACATTTATTTTTGCAACAACTCTCAGGCTCTTTATATGTGAATAATAAGTCTATGCAGAGGTCTATGCCTTGTTCAAAATTGTTGAATTTTTGAGCTCATTTCAAACGTACCGCCATTTGGCGATTCGTCGAATAAATGGTGAAGTCAGCTTTTATGCTGTTTCGTTATTGGTCAGATAATCTTCCATCCCCACTTATGAAGTGAGATTGTCAAGTCACCAATTATAATGAAGTTATCAAAATGATATTAAAGTCTTGACACTCCTGTCGTTGAATAAATCACGAGATTAAACATAATAGGACTAAGCCATGATAGTATAGTTCATTCTTGACCTTTTCCAGCAACCAACATGTCCAAATATTTCTTATACTCCAAAACAAAATATCATGTGAATGTTGAGGACTTGGCAATAATGTGCTGAATGCTGAGAACTGACAAGGCACCATCCACAATTCGTGCGCCGTATTGTCACGTTTACCGGTTCAAATGCCCTAGTGTGAATTAAAATAATTATTATTTACACAAATGTATTATAAGCAATAAGCCACAACACATGAGGAAATATTTTGAGACAATTGCTTTTTTATTGATAATTATGAATACATCAGAGCAATACATAATTGGGAATTTATGAATTATTGAATAACTAATATTTCTGAAGTTCCCAGTCGTACTTCAACATATGGCAACTGTGCAATGGTCTGCCTCTACTTACGAAATCATGACGTAAGTTTTTGATCGCGGTAAATTTCTAGCCGTTTGAAAATTACTTTAGCATCTTAAAATCCACCGAAAAATTCTAAAAAAAATATGAAATTGAAGGTGCTTGAGTGATGATTCTATTTAAGTAATAAAAAAATAGTCCAATCGCCTATTATCAACAGCAATATCACACTGTTCAGAATATTCAAGAAAGTTCTGTCGCTTTGTTGTTCACGAAATTGTGGTATTGCTGTACAGCAACAGAATTGAGTCAACATAGAGATATCCTCTCGTTCTAAACGAACTGGAATATTTCACTGAGAACTGAACTGAATCACTCAAGATGCATTCTTTCGATTTACAGTTATTTTCCCCACCTAACGCTTGGTGGTGAATCAAAGTGAACTAGAAGAATCGAGATTTTCTCAGAATCGAGATATTCTCCGATTACATTTTTCAGTTATCAAGTTCTGTTAGTTTTTTGTCGAATATATAAATTAGAAGATAGACAAGATGGCATATTTTAAGTCTCTCTCATTTATTCCTGAATGTAAGGTTGTAATTTGTGAATAGTAAATTGAGTTTCACAACCTCAACCTCTAAGATGCAGTGAACGAACTGATCTGATCCTCATCTTTATCTAAAACAAGACAACTGGATCAATGAAACAGAAATTCAGTTTCAACACGTTCAGTTTCACATTGATCAATTGATTCATATGATTCAGAACGAAAAAATATCACTATTGAGAGAATTATGAGAAGATATTGAGAACAGAGTACTATTTCCCGACGCATAAAAAAAGCATAAATTATTGAACATGAACAAACTATAACCAAAGCAACCCATCTCAACATCTTCAACATTAAATCCAGTCATGTTCCTCAACTAATTCGAGAGTTTGTACATTTTTTGTTTGAAATTCAGATTTTTCTATTCATAAATGAAATTTATTAAGGGAACTTTACCAACACAAAAACTGTATTAGGGACACATACCAAATAAATTTGCGAAAATTCAAATCCACACGGAAACTGGATGAGTAGTTGGTGTACACAATCCAGCCACTGCAGAAAGACTGGACATCTTTCATTTTGATCATCGCTACCTGATGAGTGACCGCAACGATCTGCGAATTTGTGGCCAAAAGCCAACCATTCTCGTTCAATCAGAATTCTAAAACCCTGAAAGACAAAGTAAAGTCATGTGATGTTTCTAATCTCTTCAGATCATTCTAGACTATGAGAACACAAATTGTATGATGGTTATTAACATTAAATATCACTTTTACTGCTCAGGTAATTCTAATTCTTTAAGATAATAATAGTTATTTATCCAACTAGTGTACTAATGAGGGCAATTAGTAATCGAGATATTTTAGTTGATGTTCCAGATCATCAATCGCCTATACAGGGGGATCAAAAGACGTGCGGTCGTATTTTTGTTAATAAAACGAGATAAACTCTATACTTTCTTAAAACCTTTTATCATTTCTAAAAAATGAGATATCGACGTGAATCAAAAACAATTGTGATGAGAAAGGAACACCGTTTAATCCAGAACGTAAGTTCGATCACTCAGTTTTGCCACAAGGCGCTAAGAAGTTAAGGGTGAATAAGTAAATTTCGTTTCTCCTTGTATAATGATCAAGCCATCATCATTTTCTTGGGAATTTATACTCAGGTTAACATCTCGGAACATGAATCTAAGATTTGGTCGAAATTTCACCAAAATCCGAGAACAAAAGAAGTTACAGGGCGAACAAACAAAGTTTTTTGGTGGCCAGTTTTTTTACCGGTGAGTGTATTCATCAAGAGCGGTTGTAAAAATGGGGAACTCTTGAGCAATTGGCGAAGCAGCCTTTCTCCGCAATATTTCACGATATTAATTATTTCATTTCAGCGTAGCGTAGTTGAGGTGGTAGCAGTGGCGTCGTTATGAGCTTACACAAATAATATTGGTTTGTGCTCTTGCTGTTGACCAGCCTAGCGGAATATAGTAGTAGTAGTCGGTGGGGAGGCTGTAGCCAATCAAGTAGGCCTCGATGGGCCCTTTTTGCTAACCCCTGCTCTCCACATATCTACGCTTCCTTCACCTAGATATCTTTCACGAATCTCCCTGACCTTCTGATGAAGGCCAGTATGTCCGTCCACTCTAATATGATCAACTCCTCCTGTTGAAGTTTGTCCACTCCAAAGATTTCAAATCTCAGCCTCCCGTACGCCTCGCACTCGCCGAGAAAATGGAGTGACGTTTCTTCGTCTTCCCCACATATGCGGCAAGTGGGGTTGTCCTCTATTCCCATAAGTGTTAGGTGTCTGCCTAGCCTGTTATGTACTGTGAGTACTCCTATGAGGAGGCGGAGTACTTGGCGGTCTGTGCCAAGCAGCCAGTCCTTCCTTGATTTGCTCGGACCGGCCATGAATTCCATGGCCTGCCTGCAACCTGTGATATTCTTTCAGTATTCTCCTAGTGCCTTGTCTGTCCATTCATCAAGGGCTGACGTAGTTTGGCTCCTTGCTATACCTAGTACAGGCTCCGGTCCCAGAAACGGCTCCGCGGATCCGTCCCTACCAAGTTCGGAATATAGCTCCACGCCAAACTCGCTCGCAAAATGGGGGGTATTTGCCAAAAAACATTGCTTGAAAGCAACCGTCATAAGAAATACTACCTCAAAAAAAATCACATGATGTTTTTCAACACTGTCACAAGTCAAAATGAACCATGAAAATTTATATTGAATTCAATAAAACTGACTCAACTCGAAATATGCCATTGATTTTCAGAATAAGACCAACTTACCGTTATAACACTAGTGACACTAGCGCTATCTCGTGAAAACTATTGGAACTACAATTGTGACACTTTTAGAGATTGAAATTCAGACAATTTTCTACTCAATCCCATACAAATCTTGAAATCCGCGTTTTTTGGGTTGTGACACTTTGTTGCAGGGGTGCGATATTTGGTTACAAGAAAAAAACAGCCTAAAACCTAAGAGTTATAAATATATATATACACATAGGTGGCAAATCCAATCGGATACAAATTTCATGATCATAAAATCGATTTTTCGAAAAAAACTATAGTTTTGGTGGAATAGTATATTGACATTACATTTCTCACGAGTGTGAAAGTTTGTGGCACGAGCCTGAAGGGCGAGTGATGCAAACACACGAGTGAGAAAAGTACTTCTCCCCACATGTTGCACACTATACTTTTTCTACAACTGCACTTATCCAAAGAATCCAAGTAATGTAACTCATTGGTATTCATTTTATACTGTGACACTATGCCACATTGAATATTGTGACCAAAGAGTAGACGCCTTTCCTAGTTCCTCAAAGTATTTCAAAAAAGAACACTTTCCGAAAAATATTTTATTTCTGTATTTTTTTAGATTCCAAAAAGTTTTCGTATATGCCAATCTAAATCATTTCTGTGATGTTGTCATTCCAAACATGATGATGAATGAATTGAAGTAGTGGCCAGGTAGCCGTGCGGACAGAGTGTCTATATTCTAATTCGCATTCGCTTGCCGGTCGTGGGTTCGATCCCCGTCGACTGCAGAAACTTTTCTGATGGCCCAAGAAAGTGTTTGGGATCACACGTTAAAAGGTAAGGCCCCCGTCATTCCTTGCTCGCACAAGACTTTCGAAGACTTTTGAGGGAACATTTTGAGTATATTCATAAGAACATTTCAAAGAAATTATTCTTTTTCTCCAGAATTTCCAATAATCTTTCAACAGAGTCAAGAATCACAGTTTACAAGTCAATTGTTCAGTCACACTTTGACTACTGTTCATCTATCCTATATCTATTCAATCAGAATAAATTGTCTCAACTCCAAAAACTTCAGAATCGTAATAGAGGATCATTTTGAAGTGCGGTAGAGATACTCCAATTACTATTATGCTTAATGTTTTGAATCTGTTTTTCAAAGACTGTTTTATTTCACAATGATAATCATATATAAAATATTAAACAATCTAGGACCATCTTATTTCAAACAGTACATTGTCTTTCATCATGATATTGACCACCACTTCACAAGAAATAATAATAATTTATATATAGATAGAATAAATCACAAAAGCACTATGAGCTCTTTATTTTTCAAGGGTTTTGATCAATTCAACAGATTACCAAATACAATTAAAAATAGCCCATCTTTCAACATTTTCAGAAACGAACTGAAGACATTTCTATCTAATGTACATATATGATATTTATTATGTTTGTTACGTGTAGCTAAAATTTTTGTTTTGAGATATTATTATGCTTGTGTTCAACTAACTTTATATTGTATTCATCAAATGTTTGTCATATAATTTAAATCATTTTAATATGTACCACATACCTATTTTACTTTTTCTAGCTTGTTTGTATACTAGGATATCATATTTCAATAAAGATCTATCTATCTAATTGCAAAATTATGCTTTTTCCTAAATGAATATTTATATTTGATCATGTATACTCTTGAATAAAAGCAAAGAACAAGAAAATATTTCTAATAGTGCGAGCGCTTCCCATTAGCCAACATAAGATAGAAAGAGATAGGTATCCGTAACCACTGCGGGTTGCCTGAACAATATGTTTGCCTCACTCGTTTATATTAATAGCGTTTTCCACTCGCCGATTTACAGAGCGCACTAGCACAGAGCAAGTACAAAGTGGCACTGGCTCGGTTCTTCCATAAAGTGCGGTTCCAGCACAGAGCAGTGAAATAGAAATAGAGAGTTGGTGCGACCTTCTTGTCATCAGAAATGTCAGAATAATTTTTTTGTCGATCAAAAAGTTGAATTATTAAAAGTACATTTGGTTCCGTTGGTCCACATGAAATGGATTCATCTACCTCTTATTGTGGTTTCACTGTGAACACTGCCAGAAACCAGCCTAAAACAGTCTTGTATATGAATGAATAGTGATGTAGCATTGAAGTGTCGTTCACGAAATTAGTATTTTTCATCATTACTGAATCAATAATCAAATACGTTTAATACCTGCACATCTGAATAGCTTTCTTTAACTTTTAGGTAATTTTGAATCTTCCATAAACACTCTGTTTCGTAATGAAGTACTTCTGTATCTCAATCATAACTTCTTCATCATATGATTTCGAAAATTATTGTAATAATAGTAATAACCTTCAATGAGACATTCATAAATATTCAAATTCCAAACATTTTTCCACTCGTGACTCGAATATTTGAGGTTATGTGTATCGCACCGTCGTACAAGCACAGTTCTGAAAACTCGAACTCTGAGCGGGCATCGAGCAAGTTTGAAAGCCAGTGAAAATCATTTCTCGACAAAAGTTCGCTCTTGAAATTCTCAGTGGACCACGCAAAACGAACTCAGTGCCGAAAAGGTTCGAGCTAGTGCGACGAGTGGAAAACGCTATAAGTTCATTGCTTTTTAGCATGGTGAGCATGACAAACGAACAGGCCTCTATAGTGTTTCACTCTGAGATCTCACCCACCTCTACAGTCCTATAGTACGGATCGAGCAGCAATTCAGCCAGCGCTACTATCTGCGGCGTCCGGTCCCAGCCGTCGGAGCAGTGCACAAGCACCGGCCGAGCGTCCCTATCCACAGCGGCCACCAACGTCACTGCAGCCTTCATCAGCCCCGACATGTTCGACAGCCATCGCGTGCCTTCCAACTGGCTGTACCAGCTGCACAGGAAAATATTCGTCACTTGTTATGTTATAAAGATTGATGACATAAACCTCTGGTGTACGCACTTCAATCCTTTCCTGTTTTACAATTCCTTGATTTTCGCCTACTTCGATAAACATAACATGGCGTTGGTGAATCTCGCTATGTTTAGTCTGGTGCCGAACCAAAATTACAGGCATCAATTTTTCACCGGGAATATCGACAAATGAGCGCACCAGAGGTTTATTTCATCAATTTATAAAGTAGACCATTCAGGATCTCGCCTCGGTCATATTAGTAGAGGATCCGAAGTAAGGTAGACTTCACCCATCTGTTTAATGGATTAACATTATTTTATGAGTAATTTAGTATGTTAAACATTATCAAAAAAATGGGTTGCCTGAAAAAATCCAGGCCAGGCTATAATCAATTAAAAATTCAAAACCTTTTCACTGTGGATAGCTTTTTTGAATTCTGGTCTTCTGTACGGCTGTTTTGGGCTGGTGCTGATCAACATGGTTCCCGCAGTTATGTGGAGAAATTATCTCGCGAACATATAAGGTTCCCGCAGTGAACCGATAAATTGATCCAGAGCCGTACTCAGAAATATCTAGGGAATTTGGAATTTAGGAGGAAGTAAATTCCACGTGACTTTACAGATAGGAAAACTTTTCGATAATGAAACAACTCATTCGATGAAGTTATAATAAAACGCGAGTAATTTTTTTGTGTCTGACACTGTTTTCCCGGAAATCATAGAAAACTGAATTACTGTGAAGTCTTGAGGTCACATCGAGACGAACTGTTGCCACAGGCCGAACTAACATGAATTCGAGTTTTTAAGAACCAACACGTCCAAAGCATATACGTATTAATAAACAATACGGATCATAACGGGTGCCAGGATGAAGCCAAAAATATGAAACAAATGAATATCCATAAGGATTTGGTGGCATGATACGTAGTCATCAAAGACATGCGTTTCGGTGGACAATGACGTTTACTAGCCTTTCAATCAAAGCAGTATATGTCTGATCGTATCTCACTTCAATCGGCTTCATGTTTCGACAAAAAATTCGACAACCCTCATTCAGGACATACTTTTTGAAGGCAACCCAATATCATTGTGTTCAAAATAATACAGTGTTTATTTTTATGTGTCATTTATATTCTTTAATTAACCATGTTTATATTAGGCTTGCCTATTTGGAAATAAAGTTCTTCTTCTTTATTATACCTTTCAAGCTTGGTACACAAGTCGTCAACTGAACTTTCGCGTTTCACGCATACCCAATTATAATTGGTTGCTGACTTGTAATCACTGTTAACAGCCATTCACAGTACAATATGGCCGCAGACAAAAAGCACTGCGCGTGAATATGCATATGCTCATCGTCGCGGTGTCGCCTTTTAGTTATATAATTGTTCGTTGGTGATAATTTGTAGTAATTATTATTTGAACTAAAATTTCGATTCGATCAAAGTTTGTTTTGAATCGTTGTGTCCACAAAAACTGTGCCAGAACACCCACGCTCTAGTGGGATGGAACCAATTAAGTTACATAGATTTCCGAACAGCAATGCTACTTTTGAGACTCTAGATATGATAATATGCCACTTTTTTGTATAGGATTGTCAAGAAAATGGAAAAATGAGGTTACAACTCATTCATTGGAGCTTTTGAATCAGAATTGAACGCCATTTATATTTTTCTCTATAGTCATAAGTATATCAAATTGATGCCTGGAGTCGCCTTTGTTGCTCCCTAACTCTCCCAGGTATCTCAAATCGGTAATTGAAAAGGATTGGTTTCATCTTAGAAGAATGCAACATTGTATTCATGATTTTTTTCACAAACTGACAACATTGCGAATGGTCATAATTTAGGTTCTCATGAAAAGGCAACACTGTATCCACGGAATTATTCAACAAATTGGCAACTGTTTGTACCAATTTGAAGGTCCGAGATCATCATAGCAGTGAGTCCAAACATCAAACGAAAGGAGCCGAGTTGCACATCTATTCGCGAGATTCACGAAGTGGGCGACATCTAAGTTACATAATACGAACTTCAAACTGGGGGAAAACAAACTGTTGTCTATGGATAAAGTGCATATACTACATTGCATACATCTTGCTGTAGCTGTAGTTGTCAAACTTGTCAATTACATAAAATGGTATCACTCTTATCAGTACACAAGCTAATGGCACTAATGGGATTGAGTGAGGATTAAGTTTGTTTTCCCCCAATTTTGACATGGCTTTGACATGGAACGATGAAAACCGAGCGCCACCTGGTAACATTGATTCCCGCGAATAAGGTTTGTTGATCTGTGATCTTCTACGCAACCTACTCTATCTCACCGGGCCAGAGCATCGCTTTCGTGGCGTCACACAAGCAGGGACGAAATCGAGGCGCTGGAAATTGCGTTTCCCAATTCATTGATGTACCACGGGAAAACGGTAACAGTTATCAAAAATGTCAAAGATCAAATAAGTACAGACTAAACTTCTTCAAGAGATGAATCAATATTCACTGGTATTAATAGTTCAACAAAATATAGCATATCAAAATGAATTGACCACATTCAGAATTATCGTTTTTTAAACAACTGCTAGAATTCCAATATTCAATTCACAGAAATGATTCAACCATGCAAAGGCTTCTCATATCTAGATTGACTGTAATTTTTTTCAAAATCCCCAAGAGCCAATAACAAACCGATATTTCAATTAAAGTAAAATGGTGATTCAGATGATTATTACAGACTAGTTCAAAAAGTTTAGACGGCCCCCATGCTAAACCTATTAGTTGTGGATATATGCTGTCACTCACTTTTTTGTAGCAAATTTAATTGCCTACAAATCGATATGATACACTTTAACTGTATCTCAGAGGATTTTAGCAGCGTTTACGTCTAAAGATATTATGATCTGGACACACTTTGATGACGTTAGAAATTATATACCTACCCGAGTAGAAGTTATCACACCAAAACCCTGACAGCGAATTAATTATTTTCAGCTATGGGGTATATATTTTAGAAATAATCTCATATTAATGAAGATAAATTGATTTGAAAACATTTTCGAAATATGAAAATTAAAAAGAACAAAAAATATGTAGTTCTCATACACACAATACTAAACGAAAGCCATTCTGAAACTATTCAACATAATAAATGAGAAAAAATAGCCAGATATTACAAAATTTATATATCACAAACTAAAAAATGGCCTCAAAGCTTCATATTCATCCGGAAAGCCTGATGATTGTTTTATCTTCTTTTCTTATCATTTGACTGAATCCCGTTATATTTCATATGTATTACCTAATTATTCAACACAATAGTTAATATAGTTTTGAAAATATTAAAAGATCTACAACTGGAACATGAGTAATAAAACGTGCATTGCCCATTACCTATAGGGAATTACCGCGAAGGGGAAATTAGGTAGGTATAATACTAGACAATTTTTTACGCGCTCTTTATTTCTAATTTATTTCGGACTCATTGTAGGTAGCTCAATAATTTTCTCACTATTTAATTGATGCATTATCCTAGTTTGACATACTTAGTCAGTTTCATTTTAAACCGATTCCAAATTGGCAAAAAATAGTATTCCGTAGTACAACGTCCTGATTTTCATTAAAATTGAATTTCTTTACAGCATCATAAATTGGTACTGGTTCATCCTACGGTCCCTTGATGGAAATTGACGTTCAAGTCATCTTAACAGGGTACAGAGAGATCATAGCTGCATTCTTTTTTAATGATCTAGAAACTTTAGTTTTGTCTACTGGCATCCCTGACATTGCTGTCATGTCACGTCCATGGGCGCAACAGAAAATCATTCAATATTTTAATAATAGGTATGTACAGGGTATTTATATACTTGTTGAGGAAGATCATATTATGGGGATCGAGTTTTGTAATTATGATCTGATTCTATCCAAAATTGGTATCTGGGGGTTTTCGGGGTGGGAGATAATGATTGTTTCGTGAAAATTGTAAAATTCAGGATGACGGATCGAATATGGCGAAAGACATTTCTAATTATGATCTGATTCTATTAAAGTTTGGTATCTGGGGGTTTTCGGGGTCGAACTTTATGATTTTTCGTCAAAATTGGGATATTCAAGATGGCGGATCCAATATGGCGAACGAGCTTTGTAATAAATTGTTGTTTGAAAAATTAATTGAACACGCGTTCGTAGATATAGTTATAGTTAGTCGCATTGAGAAGAAGTTGAACATAAATAGTAGTTTAAAAAACTGAAGAGATAGATTGCCGAGCTGAAAACGAGTACAAAATGAATGGTATCTTAAAAATCTAAAGAAACACGCTTTTATGAATAGCCGAACTGAAAGGAAGTAGACAATGATATAAATAAATTATTGTGCTGGTGAATATTCAACTGAAAGAATATTTCTAGAAATATTGTGCATAGCAAAACAACGTTTGGCAAGTCAGCTAGTAATCTAGTTATGATATTTATTATTCGTTCCCAATACTCTTTGTATATTGTTGAAAAAAGAAGATATTGACATTGTCAAATGACGTCAAATGTCAAAAATCTGATAGATATTTTGAGCCGATATACCACTCGATACATCTAGAAATCTCAGAGTAGCTACTCCTTTGATTTATTTCCACTACGTGTGACCAATATTTTCAAAACAAAAATTGTTTGCCTGTATGTCACTGTGGTAAATTATTTCTTCGTAATGGAAAGGGTTCGATCTCTTCACTACATATTGTATGTTAAGTTCTTCCATAATCACGAGATTTTTGGAAAAAATATATTTTCAGCCTATGTAAAATTCTTCCATATCGTTAGTGATTTTCGAAAAAAAAATAGCACCTGTATACAAAATATCTCCCCCCCCGTTCAATTTTATTATCATCATTAGTCATAGATAAATCATTTTTTGTTCGGAAATTAATCGGTTTTAGCAGCATGATTCAACTTATT